TTGAATAAATTATGCTTATATTAAAATTAATATTTAAGGAATTTCTTGTTTAAGGATAAGATTTATTAGAATTATTATATTTATCATATATCTAATTCAGTGTATTTATAGATGCATACATATAACGTACAATTACTTATTTAAACCATGTAATAATTAAGTTATTGGCTAAGTAATATTTATCACATATTTGTGTTCTTTTACATCATGTAAATGTTATTGTTAATGCCATTACGTTGTAATAATAAACAGGGGAAAATTGAGGGGATTTACTGTGGGGAGAGAGAGAGAGAGAGAGAGAGAGAGAGAGAGATAGTGGTAAGGGTGAAAATGAAAGGCAGGGTGTGGAACATTTAGGGTGTGAAGTTGAATTGCTGAGAGAGACGAGATGATATAAGGGTGAGAAAATGTGATTGAGGGAAAATAATGCTGTTAGTGTGGAAGAAAGAATGTCAGAAGTGGTAGATATGAGGGTGTAAAAATGTGGGGGCGTGAAAGTGAAAAAGAGTAAAGGGGGTGTAACAGTGAATGTACTAAAGAAGAGGTAAGAATGATGTACAAGGGTTAGAATGATAATTTGAAAGAGTCAGAGAAAGGTGTTATTAATGCTAGCGAAAAGGGAAGAAAATGGTAGGGGTGACAATGAATGAGAAAGTGGAAATGAATGAGGGCTAGAAGGGGAATTTGTTAAATAGACAAGAATGTGGAAGTAGTAATGACGTAAGAGTGACAAAATAGTGTAATAGCACTGATGGGAATGTGACAGAGAGTAATAACAGGCAGGTGTAAGGGTGTTAAAATGTCTAAGGCTGTGAAAGTGAAAGAGTAAAAGGGATGGAGGACAGACAGAGGGAATATACTGAACGGAAGATGAAAATGATGAACAAGGGCGAGAATGGAAATTTTGAAAGGTGAGAGAATGTGGTAGGGATGGATGGATGGGAAAGTGTGAATGATTCGAGTGAGAAAGTGAATTTGGCAGTAGTAATGACGTTAGGATGGCAAAATAAAGGGTGAAAATGACACTGGTAGTGTAAAAGGGTCACAACGATCAGGTGTAAGTGTAAGTGAATGCGTGTAGGAATGAAGGAGAGTAAAAGGGGTGTGAAGATGTATTAGAGAGAGGTGAGAATGAAAATTTAGAAGAGTGAGAGAAGGGTTATGAATGAGAGAATGTGTACTAGTGAGAGAGGAAATAAATGGGGTACGCAGAAGATAAGAATGTGTAGGTGGGGAATGAGGTTACGAATGTGAGAGAGAGAGAGTGGTAGAACGTAGAATGGGGTACGAATGAGAGTGAACGCATGAGAGTAGAGAGCACGAATGGATGCGTGAGGGTGAGAATATAGAGTGGGGATATGAATGTGAGAGAGAAAGAGAGAGAGAGAGTGGTAGAGTGTAGAATGAGAGTAGAGCGCGAGTGGATGCGTGAGGGTGAGAATAAAGAGTGGGGATATGAATGTAAGAGAGAGTGAGAGAATGGATGTGCGAGTGGGATTGAATGAATGAGATAGAGAGAGAGGGTGTGCGAATGGGGTATGCATGAGGGCGAGAATGTGAGTGGGGAATGAATGAGAGAGTGAATGGAGTGTATGAAGGTGAGAATGTGGGTGAGAAAGGGAGGGGAATAATATAAAATAAAAGACGTTAAAACCCAGTACCGTATTTTATTGAACAACTAAATCATTTTTTTTACGCCTACCAGGTTTAGTACGAAGGATTTTGTAATTCGAAGAGCGTCCGGGACAAGGCCCGAACGTTGGAGCTCAAGATTGGAACTTAAAAGTCCCCAGTAAGCGAAATTTGGAAGTTCCAGGATACAGAGTATTAGGAATCCCGAATGTGATTCTCAAGGTCTCCGAAACGGAGAATCCCGAAAATTTCGGATTCACAAAGTTTTGGAAACCCTGAGATTCAAGTTCCGAAGTATCTAAGACTCTGGATCCCAGAAACTCCAAGATTTCGGGTACCGGAGGCTTCGCTGTTCGAATCTTGAAACTCCGGAACACTCCCGAAACACGCGACCGACACCGAAGAATCCTATCGACGCATCACTGTTCCGTGGTGGGCGGCGATCTCCGTATTTGGCAGCTCCAGACGGTAGTGATGAGTTTACTGAAACAAAAACATAATAATTGCATTCTCATATTAAAAACAAAAAAAAAGTACGAAAAATATTTAAAGTAAGAATATTAAAAATTTATTACTTTAGATGACAATTTACTTTATTTCTAAATAATCGATTAATTTAAGTTTAAATAAAGAAGTTTGCTTGAAACTGATTCTATTAACTCATAGAAACAAAAAGAAATTTGAAACATTAATTGTTCAAATATTTTTCCACATATATTAATTAAACCGAATAATAAATGTTCATATTGTTATTGATATTTAAACTGAATGTATAAACAAACAGTATGTTTATACTTAAAATTACTCATTTTGATTCGAATTGAGAATCTTGGTTAATCATTTGTTAATAATTAAAAAAATTGACTCACTATAACGCTAACAACTGACTTTTTTTGTTTGGAGAGCTGGGTTACATTATTCAAGAATAAACTTAATAAATAAAATAAACACACCATTATAAGGACAAAGGCTTTCACGGCTGGAATCCATAGT